CTACCCGCATGATCTCGCATTCACCCCGTCTTCCATGTCTCCCTTTTGCGTCCATTTGTACCCACCGGAAACTACCAGATCCACGATTGGCCACTTGATCTGCATCGGCCAACTCCGGTCCATACATCGGCGGCCATTGTTGCTCGACGTGTTGTTTGGAGACAGGGACGGCATATTCCTCAGGCCTTGGTACAATGGCAAGGTCTTCCACCCGAAGCTTCCACCTGGGAAGATGAGTCTTTCATTTCCCTTGACTCCTTTTCAAAGAAGCCTTCTTTTGGTCGACCAGAGGACTCAGCTACAAACGACAGTTCCAAGGAGATTAATGTGAACCACATTGAAGACATTCACCCACTTCTATCGGATAGAGACATTTCCCAGCCCACCGACAGCTCGCCCAATCACACGCGACCATCAGCGATTCTTATTCCTTCACCACCCACTCACATGCTTCCACCTGTTCCCTTATCCCCATCTCTTAAGCTGACCCCAATTGTCCAACCCCAGCACGTGACTCTTGACTCACCTAACCTCGTGGACGAGGTCTCTTTCGATGGAGGGGGGTTGTTGCAGCCCAAATCGATACCCTGAGGCCCAGACGTGTTATTAGGAAGCCCACATATTTACTGGACTACTCACAATGAGTAGTGAAAGCCTTTTTAATAATAAATGTCCTTTATAATTTCTGTTGCTATTATTTATGAGTAAATGGGAACAAATATGTAATCAATGCACTATATAGCCCAAGAGGGGTGGAATGGAAAATATAGAAAATTGCTGGAAATATCTATCTTCCTTTCTCTCACTCTAAAACTCTTCTCTTCTTCTCATAACGCATCTCTCTTATGAATTAATGATCCTTACAGCTCGCTAATCACTACAATTGAGTTTCTCTCTTTGTATCAAACTCAATCCTTATTCTATTTTGTATTTTGTAAATATTATTATAATTATTTTACTTCTTATTATTTCACTAATTTAATTAATAATTTATTTTAATTTTTATAAACCCAACTCAACACTTTCTATAATGCTAATAACTTTCTTCAATTTCATCTTAATACAAGCTATATGTTAATCTATTTCTCATTAAGATTCAGATGTTAGTTTCCTTTTTTATGTCGTGCTCTTATTGATCTTCTTTTCCTATTGCAACATTTAAAGAATATATTAACCTAATTTCCTTTCTCATTTTTTTAGTAGATACTATTTCAATTTTTTTATCAAATATTTTCATTTCTTGTCTTATTAATTTTTTTATAACTATAATTGTACCTTAACATTCTCATTTTTGTTACTCATTTTATGCTCATATTGTTCATCAACATTAGCTTTGTATAATATTGCCGTGTTATTACTATTTTATAAAACTTTCCTTTTAACCATAGAGAGATTTTGCGATCATACAAATTTCCCAACTAATTTAGGATAAATATATTGTTGATGTTGACAAATATCTCGGTGCAATGTACTATTTTCATCCAGTAACATGCGATAATTATATTGCTCACATCTAAAATACTTTTTCTTAGCATACACAATATAAATAATTAATCACAATAACTTGTCCGCATATTTAATATTACTTTTGATCCAATAACATGTCCTAATATATTGAGGGAATCGTGATCTCCACCTCTTATCTAGCCAAACTTAGAGCCTGTTTGGATCCTCTTATTTCGTAAAGTAGTTTTCTTGTTTTAAGAATAAAAAACAAAAAAAACTTGTTTGTTGATTAGTGTTTTGTAAAAGTAATTCTAAAAACAAGAAGCTGTTCCCCCGCACTCCGGATTAGTATCATAGCCGGCTCAAAGAGTCGAAGCTTGTGGGGATACCGGAGGGAGCCAACTCGTCTCAAAGAGATAATTAGGGTTGAGTAACTCCAAAAAAAAAAAAATTCTGAAAACAATATCTGATTTTTAGTTTTTAAAACCAAATTTACAGAACACCCTTATCATGTTTTGATTGTGTTTCAAGCTTTTAATCTCAAAACAACAAAAACACGGCTTCATTAATGACATGATTGTAATAATCTGAAAATAAAAAAAGTAAAAGTTAATAACTTAATATCGTGCCACCTCATATAGATCCCAATTTCAAGCTCCTGTAGCTGCACGATATGTTCTTTTGCTTTTTGGTCTTTGACGTGATTGATAATTTTTTTCTTCTGTTTTTATACTTTAAAACCACATTTTGGAAACAAATTTACCAAATAATTATTTTTTGTTTTTTAACTTTTAAAACTATTTTCAAAATAATGTTATCAAATGGATTTTTTTCATTTTTTATTCTACAAAATAGTTTTTAAAAATTACTTTATAAAACAATTTTAAGAAAAAAAACTCAAAACGCAATCAAACTAAGCTCTTATACTCCACAAATTTAATATTAGCTTGACTCACAATAAATTCCTTAGACTTTATTTCTCCATCATTCTAATTTAATGTCAAACAAGTCTTGGTTGCATCATTGTGAATAAAGGTGTAAACAGGCTAGGTTAGGTTAGACTTTGACTTAAATAGACCAAGTCTGTATAAAAAATATTGGGTCTAACCTGGCCTGTTAGCCTGTGTAGGCCCCAAATTACAAGTGTGGTCTGACCTGTATTTAAAATAAAAGCTTTGGCCTAAGCCAGTTAACCTGTTTAAGCCTATTAAACATTGTAAAAGAATAACTAAAATAATAGGAAAAAAAGTGTGTCATTTTAAATGGCACATCTTAGATCTTTTCAGTTTTCACTCTCACAAAGAAGTGAGACCCACGTCTTTAAAACTTTTCCCCCCCACTCTCTCTTCCATGATTTGTCTCTTTCTTTCACTTAAAATAGCACAACTTTATGTACATTAAAATGATACATATTTTTTCCAAAATAATATTACTTTATTATTCAAAATTATTGAAATAATAATTTTATTTATTTTCTTTAAATAAATAATATGATATAGGCCGGCTATAGGCTTATAGGCCCGACATGTATAAAAAAGCATATGACCTGTTTTGTAAATAGGTTTATTTAAAAGTCCAGGCCTATTCTATTTTACTATTTGTAATAGGCCAAGCCTGGCCTAATATAGGCGAGGCCGTAGGCCCTTATAGGCCGTCCTAGCCCATTTACATCCCTAATTGTGAATATCTATAGTTACTTAGTTAGTATTCACACTATAAACAATTAATTATATTAAATGACTAAAATTTTTATAAATCGAAATATAATTAGTACCCTAAAATCTTTTATATTAAATATTTAATAATTTCTTAATACATTTACATCACTTAAAAATAAAATCCTTTTCAAATAAAATAACATTAACAATTTTGATACATACTGCATTTGGTTTGTTTTAGTTTTAGTTTTTAATTAAGGAAAAAATGTGTATCATTTTAAAGGATGTAACGTTGTGTTATTTTAAGTGAGAGAAAAAGATAGATAAAAGAGAAGAGAGAGTTGACAAAAAAATATAAAGATGTGGGTCCACCTCTTTGTGAGAGTAAAATGACATAACTTGTGTCATTTAAAAGGACAAATATTTTTCCCTTTAATTAAATATTAGCTTATGCGACATTGTCATTTTATACCAATGTAAGTTATATTATCAATTTTGATTGTTTATCTTACTTATATTTAACAGCTGTAATTTATTAGTTTTATAAGATATTAGATGCAAGTAAATAAATGATTAAGAATCCATTTGAGTAAAAAAAATTTCCCTCCAAAAACTATTTTTTTTTAAAAGTCATTCTCATTACACTTGAGTGTATGTATGTCTACCATTAAAAGTAGAAGTCACAACAAAAGTAAAAAAACAAATTGCTTTTTTTCTCAAAACTAAAATTTATGCTTTCTAAAAAAGCAGAAGTCAAAGTTAAATATATTTTTTAAAATTCAAATTTGTCACCTCAATCCAACTAATTTAACCTCCATCGGGGTCACCACAGTCACTGTCATCATTGTTGCCACCACTACCACAACCCTAATGAATCTCATCTTCATTCTTGTTAGCACCACTACCGCCACGACCACCGTCACCACTACCAAATCTTTCTCCCATGATTTATTTTTATGTCTCTTTTAATAATTTTATATATAATTTTTTTTTTGATTTTAACATTTAAATCATGTATTTAGTTAAAAGGTTCATTTTTTCTACAGTCAATGTAGATAACTTATCTACATTGAGTCCAAAACGACGTCGTTTTGAGGCAGAAATCAAGGTATTTTTGTAATTATAATTTATTTCAGGGTCATAACAGTTTTTTTCATCATGACTTTTTAATTTTTCAACCCAAAACGACGTCGTTTTGGGAGCGAATGTAGATAACTTATCTAAATTCACTTTAGAAACATTAAAGCCTTGGTTAAAAGTGTTTTTGATATATTATATCCAAGAGTAAATACCCTTTTTGGTCCTCAGCAAATTTTACGATGCCCGATTTAGTCCCTAGCAAATAAAAAGGCCCATTGTGGTCCCTAAAAAATTCAAAATGGATCAATTTAGTTGAAATCGTGGCCCCTCACAATTTCAAAAAAGGCCCATGTTAGTCCTCAAAAGGACTAAAATTGGTTCATTTTGTATTTCTTAGGGACCACGATAGGCCTTTTTATTTGCTAGGGACTAAAACGGGCATCGTAAAATTTGCTGAGGACCAAAAAGTGTATTTACTCTATATCCAAATGCAAAACAACTTTAACTTTTTTTAAAAAAAAAATCTAAAATAAATAAGGCAAAAATTTTTTTTTAAAAAAAAAAACCAATAAAATAATACTTCTTATTTTTACTTTAAGAACCTTCCTCGGTATCATTTTTTTTTATATTTGAAATTTTATTAAAAAAAAAATCTTATTTTCACGGAATAGATAGATAATCCTCGGGACAAGGCATTGCGATTTGGCATTCCTTTTGTTTTGTTGTTTTTAATGTACAAAAACAAATAAGAAATAAAATAAAATAAAAATCATTTCTTACTTGCGTTCTCATGGAAATAAAGTACTTGCCATGGGTTTTTATGTTTTGAGCAAAAACCCTCTTCCTCCGCCCTGAAACACCAACCATGCGGCGTTTATTCAGTCTCGGCGGCGTCACTCGCCGCAACTACATCCTCTGCCGCCAATACAAAGCGGCAAAGGCAGCAAAGGCGCCGTCACCGGCGACTCCTCCAAAAGCTCCAAAGAAGCCACAAAAGTTCAGCTTCCACGGGATGACATGGGAGGACCCTTACAGCTGGATGTCGAAGCTAAACGACAACGTTTCAATGCGTCACATGGACGTGTACATGGAGCAAGAAGAGAAGTACACAGAGGCAGTCATGTTCGATTCAGAGCGCCTCCTCAATAAGCTCCAATTGGAAATGGCCTCACGAATGCCCTTCGAGCTTTCCACTCCTCCCCTTCGCTGGGGCCCATGGTTATTAACCTTTTTCTCTTCTTTGTAAAGGGAAATTGTTTTGCAAAAAACTTGTTAGCTTGTGTTCACAATGTGACTTGGTGTTTTTGTATTGTATTGTATTGTATTGTATTGTAGGTTGTATTATCGACGTGTTGAAGAAGGAAAACAATACCCTGTGCTCTGCAGAAGATTGGCCAGCTTGCACGATGATTTCATTTCACATAAGTATCCTTCTGCTGGATTTGATTTTACTACGGGGAAGAGAATTGAGCAGAAGCTGGTTGACTATAATCAAGAAGCAGAGAGATTTGGAGGTTAATGCAATTCCTTTCTCATTTAATTTTGTTTATAGTTATTATTATTATTGATTGATTGATTTATTGATTAATGAGTCAAATGATATTGAAGAGTGGTTTAAGTTTAGTGCTTGTACTGGGGAGAAAGAGAAGCTATTGCAAGTAGATGGAGTTGTTGGGGAATGCTAAAAATTGTTTTCCCCAAACTTTTTGTAGGTTATTCTTATGAAGAACTGTCTGAGGTTTCCCCGAACCACCAGTTTCTTGCGTACACTATGTATGATAAGGACAATGACTACTTTAAGTTGTCTGTGAGAAATTTGAATTCAGGTTCTTTGTGTAGCAAGCCTCAGGCAGATCGAGTTTCAAACTTGGCATGGGCCAAAGATGGGCAGGCATTGCTTTATGTTGTAACGGATCAGAAAAATAGGCCACACCGGTGGGTAAACTGTGGGTTTTATTGATCTATTGGTGCCCTTTTAGAAGCAAAAGAGCCCAGTAGTTTATTTTTTGCTTATGATTATTAGTATTGAAATCCATGTAATCTTCCTTGATCTCATCCTTTCACTTATCAATGCAGGATATACTACAGTCTGATTGGATCAACTGACGAAGATGTTTTGCTTTTGGAAGAATTAGATGAAAATGTTCACATCAAAATAAGACACACAAAAGACTTTCAATTTGTGACTGTAAATACATTCTCTACCACATCATCAAAGGTAAAAGATCTACTCTATAAAACTCTGTCATGTAAAGATCCTTCATATTGTATAATGATAGTAACCTTTTTTTAGGTCTTTCTAATAAATGCAGCTGATCCATTATCTGGCTTGAAACTAGTTTGGGAATGCGATGCACTAGCTCACTGCGTAATTGAACATCACCAAGGTTACCTTTATTTATTTACAGATGCTCCCAAATATGGGCAGTCGGTTGATTATCATTATCTTCTTCGTAGTCCAGATGATGCTCCTTCAATTCCAAGAAAATGGGAGGTAGTTTGGAGCATCACCTTTTTATTCCCTATAGTTTCATTTTTTTAACTCTTTTACATCATATGCAAAAACATGTGTTTACTTGAGACAGTGAGATATGTTGTCATTCCAATTACTTGTTTTTATGCTCTCTCAGTTTACTGGCCTGTGACAGTCAGCTTTATCTTACATGTTGTATTGTGCCTCATAAACTGCAGGAGGTATTTGTCGATGACCCAGATTTGATTGTTGAGGATATTGATTTTAGTGATAAATACTTAGCACTCATTGTAAGAGAAGGCCAAAATTTTAAACTTTGTTCAGTTAGACTGCCATTGCCCTTTGGGAAGGTAACAAAAGAGAATTTACTGTATTATGTTCTTACAGATAAACTCTTGATTTAATCATGTTTTATCTTGTCATTGAATCATTACTGTAGGGGGCAGTTAAGCTGAGGAAGCTGGAACTACAGTACTTGTCTCTTCCACAACATGTTTGTCAAATATCACCTGGACCAAATTATGACTTTTTCTCATCAGTCATGCGATTTATAATATCATCACCTGTGGTATGTGAATGATCGCTTCTACTTTTTTTGTTAATTTCTGAAGATGATTTTTTTTGTGTTTCTGTGAACATCTGTTTACCTTCATATCATATCAACTGTGAATGACCATTCACCAGCCCCATTAAATATGGAACCAAGGAAATTTTGAGAAGATGAAAAGGAAACAGTGTTTTGAAATATATTCTTTTTGATCATTTGTTTGATTTAGCTCAAGGATTATGTTGCAAGATGGATTTCAAAATAGAACTTTAACAAACACTTAGATTTAGAGACAATGTTCTTTATCTTTAGTTCCAGATCAATTTGAGCTTCCAAACAAAAAACCTTCATGATATATTTTTCCTGTATGGCTGGCATAGTTGATTTGGCTTTCCAAGTTTTCTCTGCTTATTATTTTTCTCCTTGTTAGTTGTTTCTATTTTTAGTGTGCTCATTGTTGCTTCTATATGTCTCTAGACATGAATATGAGATACTTCCTTTGGTACATTTGGTCTTGAGAGGTCATTTTTTGTTCAATCTCAACTTGGAAGAAAGATCCCATCACCAAATCCCAAGATGTGTTCACTATAAGTTTCTTGCAGATGCCTGATGCTATGGTTGATTATGACCTGGCAACTGGTAATTGGAACATCATTCAGCAGCAAAATATGCTTCATGACAGAACGCGGATATTGTATGGTACAAATTCTGCAAGTATTACCATGGACTCCTCGAATTCTAAATGCTCGAGTCCTATGAACACCAACTTGGAAGATGACCACTTATGGAATGACCTGTCTGAGTTTTATGCATGTGAACAATTTGATGTCCCTTCATTTGATGGGGTTTTGATTCCTTTGACTGTTGTTTTTTCACGTAACAATAAGCCAGAGGATAAAAAACCTGGGATATTGCATGGACATGGAGCTTATGGTGAGTTACTTGATAAACGGTGGCGCAGTGAATTAAAAAGCCTCCTGGATCGTGGTTGGGTCATTGCCTATGCTGATGTTAGGTAGGCTTCACATTATTTGGTATCTATGTAATCAATGCATATTCATATGGATATTCTTCTATTGATGTATTTATGAATATAATTTCTTATTTGTTTCTAATTTACTGCAAATTGTGCAAATAAATTTACATCTTCTCTGATCTCTTACCTAACGTAGATTGGGTTTCCTGTTTCAGAGGTGGAGGTGGTCGTGGTAAGAAATGGCATCATGATGGGAGATGTACAAAGAAACATAATTCAATCAATGATTATATCTCTTGTGCCAAGTTCCTAATTGACAATAATATTGTGCATGAAAACAAATTGGCTGGTTGGGGATATAGTGCTGGAGGACTTTTGGTTGCTTCAGCCATTAATCGCTCTCCAGATTTATTCCGTGCTGTTGTCTTGAAGGTTTCCATGAATATGTCCCTGCTTTTGGTTTTTTCATATCTTAGGCTCTGTTTTAAATGCGTTGGCACAAATAATGAGATAGTCAGACTTCCTTCTTTTGTATGGTTTCTGCTGTAGGTTCCTTTTCTGGATCCAACCAACACTCTTCTGTATCCCATCTTACCACTTACTGCTGTTGATTATGAAGAATTTGGCTACCCGTGGGACCTTGATGATTTTCTTGCAATTCGAGAATATTCTCCATATGACAATATTCAAAAGGATGTTCTTTATCCAGCTGTATTAGTAACTTCATCTTTCAATACACGGTAAGTTTCTGATGCCTCTGTGTATCTTCCTGCCATGGTTTCCTACATGCTTGATTCGTGCAGTAGTAGTAAGAATGAAAGCGCTTGTGATAAAAGTGGCAACCAATTTACAGACACTTCAAAACCGTTGCTGAGCTGGTATTAGATGCGTATCCATGTTTGATACTTAGATACTTGTTGGACAGTTTTTTACTTTTATTTTTCGAATTTTTACACTAATATGAGCGTGATATATAAGAATTGGATACCTACATTACAATGACTGAGAGTGACTTTAGAAACATTTATTTCTGTGTCTTTAGGATTTGTGGTATGACTGACTCTGTAGTATTGCTTAAACACATGTGCTTGTATCTGTGCTTCCTGCGTAGCAACAAAGTAACTTAAAAATATTTTCTTTATTTCATATTTCTCTTTTGCTTCGAATTTAATTATGCTTGTTTGAGGTTCCTTTGCTGGATTAGTTTAGAAATTGGCGCTCATTTTTAAGATTTGTATGTGTGGGTCTGGGAATATCAAATGCTGAGTTTCCCTCAATCTTTTTTTGCTTTTTATTTGGGTTCATTGACCACGAACTTTAGCTTGGAATAAAGGTGATGTAGATGTTGATATTGAACTGCTTTATTGGCATTGCTCTAGTGGATTTGCTATCACTTATTCGAATGAAAATTGCTGTATGCATAGAGAACATTGTGCTTTCTGGTTGCTATTATGTGGATATCTCTATTTTAAACATTGATTTTATCAAGGTATATGACGTACAAAATGAGGTATGTCTTGCTTTCTGTGGAGTTAAATTTAAGTGGTTGTAGAACGTGCCTGAGTTGTCCATGAAGTGCTTTCCTCTGCAAATATGCGATGAGAAGTTTCGCCATTTTAAACTTTAGATTGAATTTGGGTATATGCTCTTGTTAGATGCCTTTGTAAACCTTTGGTTTCATGCATTACAGACTGTTAAGCCTCTTGACATGTTTACAAAAACATACGCCGTAAAGTAACACTTGGGGCATTTTAGCAGTTGTGAGGGAAAGGGAAGGGAGTAATCAACGGAAAAAGAAAGGGGAGGAAGAGAATGAGGTAGAGGTTAAATATTTGGCGATTAAGTGAAAGTCACAATTTCCTCTCCTCCCCTCTGTTATCCAGCATCCAAATATACCCTAAGCTGCGTATCGCCTTCCAAAGATATTTATCTGTACATTATGTGAATAGTAAACAAATCAGACTCACAGTTCATACTGTACTAATGATCTTAGTGTTTTTTTTTTTTTTTTTCGTGGCTCAGATTTGGGGTATGGGAAGCAGCAAAATGGGTCGCACGAGTTCGTGATCTTACAATTTATGACCCAAAAAGGCCAATATTGCTGAATTTGTCCACAGATATAGTGGAGGAAAACCGTTATTTGCAGTGCAAGGAATCGGCTTTAGAGGCTGCATTTCTAATTAAGATGATGGAATCTTAGATTTTCCTACTGATCTTTTTCTCAAATCTCTGAAATGTAGTTGGCAGTATGCTAAAACAGCCAACGGAATTGACACGAGGGCCTTTGCCGGTTTATCATGCATGTGTAAGACCTTAGGCGCTTTCTGAAAGAATTTGAAGTTCATTATATGTAATGTCACAAATATGCCCTTATTGTTTAATAAAGAACATGTTATAATTTTGGTCTTAATGATAATGACATCCATTTTTTTTAATAATCTTATAATGGCTTTTTCAGATTAGGTATCGTGTAGGACCTGATTTTTTTCCTACGTTGGACAGAAGTGTGGCCACACCCACGATCAACAATCAATTATGTTTTCAACAGATTTTGTAAAATCTTACAGCTGATTTTGTAATAGCATATAAAATATTATCTTTAAATAGACTGCCTCTCAAATCTACTCGAAATATATCATAAATCAGCTGATATTGCAATGCCACACATATAGCAAATACATTTTATTGTAACAACTAAAGTCGTGATTTTGATAAAACGACCTTTGCTGGGGGAGAGGTAAAGAGTAGATTTCTCATCTTAAAAATTCATGACTTAGTTATGTGAAAATTTTATATTTATTTTTCTCTTTACATTAGGTCTAATTATTATTAATAAAAAAATAGACATAAAATTTTACATATCCTCTTTTATGAATTTTTAACATGAGTTGTGTCGTGACGCCAAAAGCCAGGCATACAGTTTTTCTTTCTCTACATGTTCTGTACTTTTCATTTAAAAAATGCATTTTCCATTCATCTACTTTTACCACACAAGTCACATCACATTCATTACCTTCCTTTTCATCACGTCTCATTGCATACCCAATTCAACTATTTGATTTTTTATCCTATGGCGAAGCTGAGCTCAGTGATTTGTCAACTGCTGAATGGAAAAACAGCATTATAAAATCCTCTATAATAGTGTTCCTTTATGAAACAAAACTTAGTGGGTGAGGCCAACTATGATTATTACTCCTTATACAAAGATATATAATTGTTCAACGTCAGATGCTTCGCGTTGATAGAAGTGCCAAGCAGTGGGGTAGTAGGTGAAATATATTACTAATTAATTATCAAACTGAATTAATAATTTATTTATAATTTTATTGCTTACCTTTTTGATTAATTTAAGTACTTTAATAAAGTAATGTAATTAACAACTTATCTAATTAAACACGTCAGTTTAGAGGTATTAAACCTTTCGAGGGTAGCATAGAATCCCCCGAGCAAAACCAACTAGCATTTCCTACCATTATATTTTACCGGTAAAACGGATTTGGCTTGGCTGGCTCAGGCAGAACGAGTTGAGTTTTATAACTCATTTTTTAAAGTGGAGTTAGATGAGATAACTTGTTTTTTTTGGCTGATATGGCAGAAAAAGTTGGACGAGAAAGATCAGTGTAAAATAGTTTAAGATCCACTTTGTCACCTCTAATTATACTCTATGTATCATGGACACTACAAATTTTTTGAATTGTCGTGTCTGACATATCTCGATACTCTCTAACACGCTCTGACATATATAATATTAAAAGTTTCAATACATATCATGAAAAAATTAATTGATATTTTACAAAACTGATATAATAAAATTAAAAATGAATACCGAATAAATTTCACTAAAGTATACAAAAAAATTTCAATTTGAAAATATAATAGTAGATATTTACATCTTATATTTCTTTGCAAAAATAATGGATATTATAAATTTCATTTTATTTTTTGTTAAATTATTAAATATTAAATATAATATATATTACATAAATTAAAAATATTATTTAATATCGAAATATATTCTAACATATCAAAATTTATCAGAGTATAATAACATATCCCATGTCGATGCAAGATAGATTATCGTCACTGCGACTGGTGTTAAGAATTTACATTCAATACAACGCAATTTGACAATCTCTTCCCTCTTTGCAATCTGCTCCAGGGTGCCGTAACGATTATCAAGCAAAAAGCACGTAAGGTCGTGTTTGGTGTGACGTATAAAGCATGATAGTATAAGCTTATATTATACGTTATGATATTTTCAGTTATTTGGTATTACCATTGTATAGTATAAGTTTATACAGCATAATTCCTTAATACATCAAAACGATGTATAACTTAATCCGGCCTAAGGGTGAGGAATAAGGCCTGACAAGAGATTGATGTATTAACATCGTTGACCAATGTAATTCTCAAAAATTAATATATATTTTAATATTAATCTATTAAAATAAAAATTAATTTTTCAATATATTAATTTTTAAAATATTAAATATTTTTATCTTTATAAAAATTAATTTATATTTTGAACACACTGATCAATAAATTTTTATAAAAATTAATATCATATGACATTTTTTGAAGAATTATATAAATTCTTTATTAAAGGATATTTTTATTAAAAATATTTATTTTTATCATATATAGTATTATACAGTGCATTACCAAATACTAGATGATATTATATTATACAATATATTATTTTATATAATATCGTGCCAAACGCTAGATAATATTAAAATTCAATCAGGTCTTATACAATCAGACCTTATACTATCAGGTCTTATACTATCAGACCTTATACTATCAGACCTTATCCTATACTATGCCCTATCCTATACTATGCCCCAAACATGCCCTAAATGTTTGGTGCAAGTGAACAACAATGCAAGTATAAGTAGTAGGAACATAAGAAAAATAAACAAGTAAAACCCAGATTTCAAAATAAGCACATATTTTAATCAGTTTGTCGTTTCTTGTTATTTCACTTGTTCTTAAAAGTAGGACCATTCTTGATTGATAGCCTTGACAAATCCTCCAAGGTAAGAAAAAGAGAGAGTAAAACAACGTTTCAAGAGATTGAGGACTGTTATCTTTGAGTATTTGATTTTGTTCACCTCAGTCAAATACTCAAGTTCAACTTTAAGTAAAAATTTAGTAACAAATTCAAGCCAACAAAGAAAGCAGCCATTGGCTGGTCCGGTAAATTATAGCATGACATGAACACTACCTTTTTACAAAAGTTGGAAATCCTTTCGTATAAAACAGAAGCAAAGTATTTTATCAGCAGAAATTCTACCCATAAAATCTTGCTTCAAAGTACACCATCGCTTCCCAATATGTAACAAATCTCTAAAGCCAACTCTACAAGAAGCTCAAAAAGAAAAAGAAAATATAAAAGGAAAATGAAAAATGTAAGCAACAAGAAACATGAATTAACAAATCCACCCACTTGTTTGGCTTTGATGCAGAGATAACTATTAGGCTATCTAGCAACATATAAATGATCACCAATCCAATCTTCCTGTTGCTTTAGACTGGTTCCCCTTGGCAACTTCTCACAAATAATCTTTCATTTTCAGTTTCCAAAATTGAATAGAGTCACTGACAACACCTGTCATCTCATGTCTCAGTACCTTCTTGAACAGTAGGAAGACCACCTTCTCTGATAAATGTTGGGTTAAGAAACTTGGCCACAAAAGCCCACAATTTATACACATCCTCAAAATTAGTCAGAAAGCTTAGTGAAGCTGTGACAACTTCAAGCCTTACAAAGCTACCTTTTCCATCACGCCTACCATTCTCCATTGGCCTGCAAAGAGAAGTGTCTTCAAGATTCAGAGCTCCACGATGCTGTCTTGAGCTATCAAGAATCTGTATATGACTAAGAAAACCAATACCAAGAGAGATTCCTTCCTTCTCAGCCAGCTTTTGAACAATCTCCGGATTGATCAGCCCCCTACTTCTGTCCCTGACATTGAAAGCCACAGCTGCACCTCTTTCATACTTTATTTTTGGACCATAGATTTGGACAAGATTTACTTTTTCATTCCGATCAGAAACAGGTAACTTCAGTTGCAGTAACAAAGTAACAAGCCAATTTATCAAAAACCGAAGTCTAAGTGTAGTTTTATTGAGACCAAGCATATCAACATGATCGATATGCCGACAAATTATCTCTGGTTCCCTCCGGCCCCAATCCTGTCCATCACCATATTCTCCGTCACTTGCGACTTCATCATCATCTAAGCTAGTTGCAGATATGTCCCCCGGCTCCAGGGTCTGGCTTAGGTACTCTTTACTATTATCTTCCATGCTGAATGACACTCTTCTATCCCTGCTGTTGTGTTCATTCTCTTCCAAACCGAAAATCCTACCACCACTATATCGATTCCCTTCTCTCCTACCCAACAACCTAAATTCACCTTCAGTTTCCCTTCTTATGGCGCTTTCTTTAACATCAGGACATATTTCAGAGGTGGAGCCATTCTCCAAGCTTTTATGCTGAGCAAGAGAAGTTGAATTATTGGGCCAAGATCCTTTCATAGCAACAGATCCATTATGAACTGCTTCGCTGGTTTCAGGTTCTTCCACGATCTCATTGACATGCAGATGATCTGATCCGTTGCCATTTACTGAATAATGATTAACTTCGTCAACATGCTCTTCTTCAGGGACCTCTTTGACACGGTCTAGTTCCTGCGACATTAGGACAGCAGCATCAAACGACAACACATGGCGGTCATCATGAGGACCTGGGATTACCTCTCTGTCATCATACATAGGGCTGCCATACATCTTGGAAGTTGGTTTTGGAGAATGTTGCTTCTGGTTCCTCCTCCCATTGAACCAGAAGGGTGGTAAGGGAGAAGCTATCTTCTGTTTATTTGATTGACCTACATTGTCAGACCCCAATGGACTCTGACCCAAATCAATCCAATATGAGTTGTCTGATGACTCATCCTCGCTGAAGACAGGGCTCTTTATCACCTCTCCAACAGATATACTCTCAGTCTCCTCAAATATAGTGCTAGTTCCATCTCTTTCAGAGCTGTCTTGATCCATTTCAGTCTCGAATACATCTCTGACCTGTGCAGACGTGAATGCACCAGAAAAGGCAGGTAACTGTAATCCCTGACGAGTTTCAGAAGCCTTATCACCAGCCCCAGTGACTTCATCATCGTCTTCAATCCCAGCCAATTTATCGAAACCATCTACAGAATCACTCAAATACATTGGAAACTCGGGGGTAATCTTCACCATTCCAGATCCAGTACTCCCAGACTGATTTTGAAGGCTTGCAATAACTGATTTCTTGATCAGAAGACAACCAAAACCTGTGGGATCATACCCAAACACCCTGTAAA